ATGAAACCTCTATAAATCTGGAGAGCTTGCAGACTAGTAGTGAGTCCACTCCCATGGAAGGTGGGTGGTGGCGTGCCCTAACTGCACGGGAACAGAGGCTCATGCACTTCAGACTCTTCTGTGCCTCACCCTAGGTACTTCTTTGTCTAGTAAACATGGTCCAACCTCTTTGGGGTTGTGGAAAGTCACAAATCTGTAGTTGGCTGGGCAGAAGTGTGAGTTGCCTGGGTACCCTATTTGCAGTGTGCATCTGAAATAGAGGCAGTTTTGTGTGACTGAGCTCTTTAACTTGCAGGATCTGATACCAGCTCCACGTAGAGTCAGAACTGGAGAATCGGTTGGTGTTGGAAAATACACCATATATTTGGTGTGAGAGAGTATCAAAGAATATACTCATCAAGCTTTATCCAAAAAATGGATTCCCTCACATCTCCATAAATAAATTGCATCTTATAAGGACTCTACTAAAATGTGTATTTGGGAGGGTCCTTCTAACCCCTTCTGTGCCCCTCAAATTATCCAGTGCCATTACTGTCCATGATCTTTCTAACCTGGGAGAAAAGCTGAAATGTCATCAGGCAATCATTGTGTTATGCTTACTCTGATGCTGAGCTTTTGAGGCTAGAAGAATTATAGTGACATTGACACAGTAGAAAGGTACAGTCTAAGAAATACATGTTGTCTCTGTCCTGGTTCCCAGCTCCTAAAATGTGAGTGAGAGGCATGCCTTCAGTATTCATAAGGCACCCTTCTCATGGTGCCTGAGTTTATGCTAATGAGGTGACTTGAGGGGTGCCTAGAAAGCCTCAGGAGGGGGCTGACCTAGAAGAAGCAAGTGATTAGAGGGTTGGAACTGCAAAGGAGTGAGAGGGATGGCTGGGTGGACTATTAAAAAATCTTGAACAAGATGCTGAGCTTCCAGATTGGTCAACACTGGAAGTACTGGAAAGTCCTGCAGCTGGAGGAGCATGGACTCTCCTTGCCCTCCTCTCATACCTCACTTCTGCATCTCTTCCATCTGGCTCTTCCTGGTTCTTTCTGTATCTTCTTATAAAAAGTTGGTACATGTAAATAAATATTCCCTTGAGTTCTATGAGCCAACCAAATGATCAAACTCAAGGAAGGGTCATGAGAACTCCAATTTATGGCCAGTGGGTCAGAAGTGCAGGTGATAACCTGACTTGTGTTTGGCATCTGCAATGGGGACAATCTTGTGGGAACTGAGCTCTTAACCTGTGGCATCTGATGCTGTCACCAGGCAAATAGTGTCAGAACTGAGTTAAATTGAAGGACATTCAGCTGGTGTTTGCTGTGAATTATAGAAAATTAAGAAAAACCCCCACACCTCATGGCTAGAAGTATAATATTGAGAAATATTATTCTTTCAGTAGAAAAACAGAGCTTTCCTTTACAAAAAGTGCTTATAGCTTTTTTTTTGTTTCATTTTTTTAAGCACAGGAAAGTGCTATTCAGTATGTATAATTTTAATCTTGAACTTTCCTGCCTCTCTAGGAAAAAATTTAGGGTAGCATATAAAAACAAAAAAAAATTAATATAATAGGAATAAAAGAGAATAAATCAGAATGAGAACGAACAAAGCAAATAGCCAGACCATGCAGATTTAGCAGAGACAGGCCTCCTCCCTGCATAACGGAGAATGAAATGTGAAGAATTACCTATTTTTATGACATGAAAGGAAGGGACAGAGCAACTTCTCAGAAGGGGACCCTAGAGCTCCCTGCATATTGGGGGGCAGCCTCTGCAAGGAGGGAAGTGTGCACTGTAATGCATGGTATCCTGTCCTCCTTGGGGTTTTCACAGTAAAGGCAAATGTAGCCCCCAGTAAAAGTCAAAGGCATAACATAAAAAGTAAAATCTATAACGTGTTTGACAAATGTAGATTTCAACTGTCACAGCGCTTAGACTATACCTTACATTATGTTCCCCAAATAGAATCATTTTGATTGGGATTTTTGATTTTTTGTTTTTAACAAAAATCAGCATGGAGCCCAATGTGGGGCTTGAACTCACCACCCTCAGATCAAGACCTGGGCTCAGATCAAGAGTTGGATGCTCAACCAACTGAGCCACCCTGGTGCCCCTGATTGGGATTTTGATAGGAGCTGGCTGTTAACTGACTCCCTAGGTTACTTTTTTTTTTTTAAGCTCAGGGCCTGGTATCAGAGTGTCTTATTCTGATCATTAAGGAGATTCCAGAAACTGGGCAAGAAGTTGACAGTGCTAAAGTTCTGATATGAAATATCACCACCTCTAGTCAGAATTCCTGTTGAGATGTATTCTTTTCTGCTTTCATGGGGAGAAGAGGCCACAGGATGCCTGCACTCAGCACCGCTGGGGTTTTCCTCTAAGAGCTAAGCCAGAGATCCATGGAGACTCCTTCTGTGGCCCAGGAGAGCATGGCAGACACGGGAGAGCAAGTTTTTGCCTATAACAGAAGAGATGGGACGGCTCTCCCACTAGGGCCCTGGCAGAAATGCTCTGGAGGACCAGTTAGCTCTCCATCACTGAGGAAACTGACTTCCTGCATGTTATCTACTCATATCTGTGTAAGAGTTGCAGAATGTCCACCAGCAGATCTGTGGCTGCAGTAAAAACACGCATTGCAGACATCCAAGTTGCTGCCCCAGCTGCTGAGCTCAGAAATTCATCCCCACGTTTTGCTGCTCTAATAACCGAACATGTTAGGAGTACTACTACTGGCCGGTTCCTGGGACACACAGGACTTGCTGGAAGCAGATGTTGTCACCCTGCGCCCCCCCCACCGGCTCCATCCCCCCATCGTCTTGCCAAACCCTCCTGAGACTGCCGGAGGAGGTGGGGGGCAGTCCCCCCTACTGTCCTTCCTCACTCCTTCCCTGGGGCCCAGGCTTCCCTGTAGCATGCCCAGACTTCTCCTCCATCCCCGTTTTCTCTCACACAGCCATGTCTCCTACTAAAATCTGTACACGTTTAGTTTTGTCCTATCCTCTGCTTCTCAGAGGACCCAAGCAAACACAAATAGCAATTTCTGTTTTTACTAACAAATTCTGTCGTTGGAATTATATCAAAGTTTAACAACAGAATTACAGCATGCCCATGTTTCTCATTGGAGGAAACTGCCCAATTTGTTGTTTTTTGTTTTTTAAGTCAGATTTTGCCATAGAGGAATATTCATCCTTTCATCCATTCTGGTAGAGGGATAAGCAGCTGATTCATCTAAAATAGTATCAAACTCTTACATGGATAAGAAAAAGGTATCTGGCTATGCCATAGCCTTGCTTTAACATTAAGGGGTTTATTTTATTTTATTAAATTTTTTTAAAAGATTTTGACAGAGAGAGACAGTGAGAGAGCGAACACAATCAGGCAGAGGGGGAAGCCTACTTCCTGCCAAGCAGGGAGCCCAATGTGGGGTTCCATGCAAGGTTCGAATCATGACCTGAGATGAAGGCAGATGTTTAACGACTGAGCCACACAGGCACCCCCTTTAAGGGGTTTATTTTAAATGTATAGCTTAATCCACATCTGGGCCCTATTTGCAGGAAGAAGGTTGATAAAATAATGCTCACTGGATACTGCATAGTCTTAATCTTTCCTTTCTCTTTCTCCCTTCCTTCCCTCCTTCCCTCCTTTCCTTTTCTTTTTCTCCTTTCCTCTTCTTTCCTTCCTTCCTTCCTTTCTTTCTTTTTGGCAGCACCCTCATCCCAAGGCCTGTGGCATCTACCCCAGGAGCTTGCTCACAAAAGAGAATTAATGTTTGTTGAATGAATAAAGGAGATGCTGTATTTGGAGGATATGGTTCCTTTCAGAGCCTAAATACTCAGCAGGAGGTTACTGAGGGCCTAGTAGAATATTTGATAAGCACACATCTGTCAGAATTTGAGATGTTCTGTGGGAGATGGGTATATAGTTCCTATAACGTTCCTATAAGCTCAGTAATAGATAGATGTTATTGAAAATTCTCATCCCAAATGTTTCTGCATAGTCTTAGAAAAATCCCTCCTCCATTTCAAAGTTCAGAAAATACTGACCCCATCCTTCAGCAGAGAGGGTTTCCATGGTGACAAAGTATACACAAAATAAAAGAGGGCAAAGGCCATTGCTCTTTACTGATGTCAAATGGAAAAACAGGGCTTTTATTATTTTAATTATTCAGCTGCTACAGCTTGACCCCAAAACTCTAACTTTTTGTCCATTCTCTGATATAAGATGCAAAGTCTTTATCTCCACATTGGGACTGATGCATAACTTTCTTCTAATAGCAATCGTTGTTGTTGTTGTTGTTATAACTGGAAATGTGTTGGGCTTTCCCAAGATATTTGGGCCTTGACCTTCCCAGGAAGGTCAAGAGATATAGTGTAGAGACTTCTCTGTGGTTGCTTAATACAGAGCTCATGCAGACACTTACAAAGGAAAGTAAGAGTCCTCTCAGGACTGATTAGCTAGTGAAAATGTGGTCCAAGAGCTGAAAATGTTGTCCAAACCCTTCCCCTCACGACTTCAGTATGGGCTACTCATACTGTCAACCAACAAACCAAGTCATGGACACAAGTAAATTTCTTCACTAATTTCACCGCCCAATTACTTATTCCTACTAGCAACTACATTCCCTGACATTATCTTTTTAAAATGTATGAGTGAAAACTATGACCTCATAAACCAGTTTTTTGTTTGTTTGTTTTTTTTTTGGATTTTCAAGTCCTTTGGGAAATGACAGTTTGGCTTATTTTTCTTTTTCTTTTTTTTTAAGATTTTATTTTTATTTATTTGACAGAGAGAGATCACAAGTAGACAGAGAGGCAGGCAGAGAGAGAGAGGGAAGCAGGCTCCCCGCTGAGCAGAGAGCCCGATGCGGGACTCGATCCCAGGACCCCGAGATTGCAACCTGAGCCGAAGGCAGCGGCTTAATCCACTGAGCCACCCAGGCGCCCTCGGCTTATTTTTCTATGACTTTTCAGGGGTCCCAGAGCACCTCTTGCTAGAGGCCTATTTCAACATACCTGCGGTCTGTGGGGTACAGTTCCACAGTGACCACATCCAGAGAGTTCCAGGCCGAGATGGTCAATCCGTTATACAGACACAGCACGCCTACCATCATGGACTCACTGCTGCCCAACCAGAGGAAGAAACAGCTGATCCCCGAAAGTACCATGGAGCCACCTGCCAACGATGAAGACAAAAGGGTGCCATGTTTCCTGCCATCTTAGAAAGAATAATCCTTGGGTCCTTGTCATCTCTCAGCAAACCTGAATCCCACGGGGAGGCTGTGGTCTGGACTCCAACAGCTCAGGTACAGGTAGACTCACCTGTATAAAGGTTTGCCCCTCCAACTGCTTCTGAACACAGCAAGCAGGAAATGCACATCGTCAATAATTACTCAGCTACTTAAGTGGAAGAATATACATCAGTCACACATAATTAGTTCTTCAGTCTGTTAGTTCATGGAAGCTGTTCAAATGAAATATAATTAGACATAATTTTTGCTGAGATTTAGTCCTAATGAAGGGTCTTAAGGGATTTCTCCTCATCTCTGTGGGATGCAAATCCCTCAGGGGGCAGGGAGTACAGTGGGAACCAGGCTCCCCAGAGACGGCAAGGGCAGCTCTTTTATTTTACATAAAACCAAACACATACCCAGCATCGTTAAGCGCCCGATTCTGTCCATCAGGAGAGCAGACACGATGTTCCCTGGCAACACTGCCAATGTCCCCAGGAAGTTGACAAAATAAATCCAGTAGGCACTATAGTCATCATCGAAGGTAATCTGGCATCCCGTCTTGTTGTGAGAAAATGAGCAGTTTTGAAATTCGCTATCAATGAATTTATATGGCTCAAAATCTGTGGACACAAAAACATTCATCAGGCTCTTTACAGTTGTGCCCCAGTCGAAGAAAGCCAGTCAAGAATTCAGAAAAGAAACACGGTATTGTAAACTTGAGGGCTTCAGGTCCTGGCCAACACACAGGGGCTGCTCTAGAACCTCATATTACAAAGTAGCTGAATGAAGGATAGGTTTGTTTAATAAAAAAATACATTAGAGTCTAGTTATCCTCTGATTTTTTCTGTTTGGCCATTGCTAATTATATTACTTGCTTACTCCTTTATAATGTTACTTTGTTCTAATTATCATGTTACATAAGTACTATTATTATAGAACTAATAGCTTCCATACCACAACTACAAAAACAAGTTGTTTCAAAATGTAGATGAATCAGCCTTATCATTCCTATTTTATGGGACTCTGAGGCAAAGAGAAGGAATAGCCTTTTGTTGGACCCATAAGGCTGAATGTAGAAGGTGAGGTCAAAGTGGAGGAAGGCACAAAGGAGTAAGAGTTGCCCTTATTGGAAGGTCACTGGCATTCACTTTTTTGTTTTGCTTTTGTTTTTTTTTTTTCCTTGAACTTGGATCTATCCAAGGTGCAAAGTAATGGTGGGTTCTGCTAAAAGACAGTGGGAATCACAACCATTATTGTCCCTTACTGATCAAAACGTGCCTAAAAAGCTGGTCTTCTGAGGTTGAATGGGTTAGAAGGCAGTGAAAGCACTGTTTTAAAAAAACCTGAAGACACCTGATTCCGCTCTCACTGGGAGTTGGGCAGAGCTGCTTCCTGTCTGAACACCAAGAAGGCCGCACTGGCCCAAGGTAGCGCTATACTCCTCCCTGTGCTGCGCTGTTATTTTGGACTCATAGGACAGACACACCGGAGTACAGAGGTGGGAAAGCATGGGCTTGGCAATCAGATAAAACTGGTCTCAAATGTTAGCTGTTACCAGGTCTATGAATGTGGCCAGATTACTTTTTCCAAGTCTCCACTATTATCTCATGAAATGAGATAATGAATGCCTAATGATGGAAAGTAGGAACCAGCCTATGATAGGTGCTCAATCAGTACCCCCCTCCCCCCGCAACTCTTCTTTTCCCCTGGGGAGTTTTCCAAACTCCATTACCAGGATTGGACAAAAAACTGTCTGATTAAGCGCAGCCATGCGTAGTCCATCTCCGTTCGCTGCAGCTCAGGCATTATCACTTAGGTAGACATCAAATTTTGAAGCCAGGATTATAAACAAACTGAGGGGCAATTCTTTTCTTCAAACATTACTCAAGGGAGGGGCACCTGGGTGGCTCAGTCAGTTAAGGGTCTGCCTTTGGCTCAGGTCATGATCCCGGGGTCCTGGGATCGAGTCCTGCATCAGACTCCCTGCTCAGCAGGGAGTCTGTTTCTCCCTCTGCCCCTCCACCCACCTGTGTGCTCTTTCTCTCTCAAATAAATAAATAAAATCTTTTTTAAAAATTACTTAAAGGTATTTTTTCTTTTTAAGACAGAGAAATCGTGCACACATGTGAGCAGAGTGGGTGGGTGTGGGGCAGAGGGAAAGAGAGAGAATCTTAAGCAGGTCCCACACTCAGTGCAGAGTCTGACATCTCCTGACCCTGGGACCTCCTGACCCTGACTCTGGGATCATGATCTGAGCTGATATCAAGAGCCAGGCACTCAACCTACTGAGGCACCCAGGCGCCTCAAGGATTTTTTTCTTTTAACTTGGAACTTCAGCAAGTCCTATTTGCATTAAATCTGACAGAGAGAAATAATAAAAGCTTAACCATGATCAAATCTGATTAAGGAAATCCATTCCTTAATACTTTAATATCTACTTTCCCCATATGCCTCTGCCCACACTATCACAGGGGTATCAGGTTTCTGCCAAGAACTGGGCCATTTGAAGAGGCCCCAGGCAGGGCGAAGGAGCACACCTACCTGTGTTGTCAAAAACAGTGTCAATAAATGTGCAGTTCCTGAAGTAGGTGTTGACTGAAGTCACATCCTCAAAGACGCAGGCCTTAAAAAGTGAGTCTTTGAAAGTTACAGATTTGAACTTCATCCCTAGAAATCTGCCCAAAACACACACACAAAAATTCTTATCAATGATTGTGTCCATCAGGGTTCAAAGTAAAGTCAAATGGGTTTAGAGATCTGATGCCCCACTATGGACTCTTCATAAAGACATTAGCCTCTGGATCTTCTAGGTTCTTAACTGCCCACCCCACTTCTTCACGCAGCCTGTCCTTTGGCTATCTCCCGGCTCACCTATATTATTTTCCAGCAGAAGAGATGGCATTCAGGAAAACTTCATTTAGCTTTTGCAATGTTGGCAAAAGATTTTGTAGGGTATGTTAATGAAGGAAGTTTGGAGACTAACAGAGGCTACCGATCTCTTATTTTTCAATCCTATCCTCTTGCTCTTGATCATATGCCTTTATTTGAAAATTCTTTATTTGAGGTTAATGACTCTAACTTAAGAATGTGCTCCCAGGCTCACTTTTGACAGAAGTCTGTTTCCTAAGCTAAAAATTCAAGGGTTCTTCATTTTCCTATAGGGATTTCTGGTAGAGAACAATGAGAATTGGACTTCATTTACATGAGGAACAATTGACTCAGGGCTCATAGAAAGGAAGAAACTCATAGGTCACCCTCATTTCCATGAATAATTTTCTTGTCAAAGCCAACTGGTATTGCTTGAACTAAGCAGAGTGATGAGAGCTCTGCTTGTTTTTTGGAAAAGTGTAGAATGATGAAACCTGCACAGATACTTTTTTGAATGCTGCAAGGGGTGGAGGGTTCTAGATGGTGAAGATAATAACAGTCATGATGATCCTAACATCTTAAAAGAGTCTACGACCAGATCTGTCTGTGTTGATAAGGCCTCCCAGAAGACATGGATCGATAGTCATCGTTGTGTCTTGGTAAGTTATTAAGAGATCATGAATCAATACTTAGCCACGCACCGAGAGGAGAATGCTTGTTCAACTGGAGAATAAGTTATTACACCAAATACCACTTGGGGCAGAAAGGGTCTGAGCCTCCCAGGCAAGCAAGCTGACCGGCTTAAAAGCTATACCCTCTTCAATACTTCCAAAATTGTTCTCACCTTAGTGCCTGATGATATCTGTCAGCTCAAAATGCTGTGGCCTAACACAACACCTTCTTTAAAAGTAATCTCATTTCAACCTCTACTCTAGGGGTCAAGAGTAAATCCATCTAAACCATAAATTTGCCATTAAAGAAGGGTAAATAATGGTACTTTTTTTTTTTTCCAAGAGAGGGAGAGTGAGCAGGGAAGGGGCAGAAGGAGAGAGAGAGGGAGGGAGAGAGAATCCGAAATTAGCTCCACACTGAGGGCAGAGCACGACTCGGGACTTGATCTCACAACCTGAGATCAGGACCTGAGCAGAAATCAAGAGTCAGACCCTTAACTAACTGAGCCACCCAGATGTCCCAATAACGGCACATTTTAAGAATATTATCAATTTTCTGAACTAGAAGTGAATTTAGAAAGGGAAAACAATTTCAGGTTTTTTATGAATGGATAATATATACACACAGTTCACAAGGTACAAAATTGAAAACACTGAAAAAGGATAAAATAAGTCTTTTCCCAGCCAACCTTAAGCCTCCCAGTTCTTTTGTCCGGAGGTGGCCAGTGTGGCCAGTTTCTCATGTGGTCTTAGGAGCAGTCTTTTTATGGAGTGCTAGCAAATAAGACATGCAATTCTACTCTTTTCGCTTTGTTTGGTGACAGTCTACCCCAGAGGCTATTCCAGATCAGTACCATGGCATTAAGGAGAGATGCCATTTTATGGTATTGAATAGGAAAGTTCTTTATAAAAAATGAGTTAGCTAGCAGCATTTCCCATTTCCCTGAAAGACAAATAAACGAAAATCGATAAAAATTCTATCGCCTTCTAAAATAAATATATATGTTTTACAGGGATTTTAATACTATTAAAATGGCTAATAATTATCTTGCTAATGTAAAAAACTTCCTGGTGGTGACCAAAGAGTTGGCTTAGAACTTTAACCAGCATCATTTAAAATAGATCAGAGGGGGCGTCTGGGTGGCTCAGTGGGTTAAGCCTCTGCCTTCAGCTCAGGTCATGATCTCAGGGTCCCTGCATCGGGCTCTCTGCTTGGTGGGGAGCCTGCTTCCCCCTCTCTCTGCCTGCCTCTCTGCCTACTTATGATCTCTTTCTGTCAAATAAATAAATAAAATCTTTAAAAAAAAATAGGTCAGAGACACAAACATATCAGACATGTCTAATGGAGTAACAACTCTTTTAAAAATCAATGAAGTAAATTTTTACCCTGCCATTACAAAGGTTTCCACGGAAAGACAAGTGCAGGCTTGGGTTGGGATTTTATGTGGGAGAATGAAGGTGATCCTACATGGCCTGCATAAGGATTAAGCCCCTTGTGGAATTGCCAATTTAAACAATTATCTCCTACTTCATAATTCTTCTCCCTTTCATCATATAAACCATAAGTATCCTACAGAATTCTTTTTCATCCTTCCAAAGCGGTTTTGTCTGGGAAAACTTGGTCCAGTTTTTAAAAATTTTTTACTTTTAAAAAATTACTCTGCCTTTGGGACAATTCCTTAAGAAATTTAACCATCAGGAGCACACACTAGCCATTATTTACCCAGATGACAACTAACAGAAATGATCTCATCTATTCCTTTCCCCCGATGAAAGAATGTGCTGGAACCACCTTCCTAAGCCAGTTCTCTGTACATACCAAGAGGCATTCCAGAGTCCATCTTCAAAAAAGTCCTTTGCTAACCTATTCTGTATTTTCAAAGCCCTGTACTTTGGGGAATCATTTCTGTTCTTTTTTTTTTTTTTTAAAGATTTTATTTTTTTTTTATTTATTTGACAGAGATCACAAATAGGCAGAGAGGCAGCCAGAGAGAGAGAGAGAGAGAGAAGCAGGCTCCCTGCTGAGCAGAGAGCCCCATGTGGGGCTTGATCCCAAGACCCTGGGATCATGACCTGAGCCGAAGGCAGAGGCCTTAATCCACTGAGCCACCCAGGCGCCCCATCATTTCTGTTCTTTAAGGGAAAGTCTTACTGGTACAATGTAACATCACTTCCAGATTCAGCCTAGTGGAGAAGGAAGGGCTTCTGAAAGTAGTCCCCCTTCTCAGGGGTAAGAGACAGGCATCATGTTACACTACGGATTTCTTCTCTGAATTAAGTAGCACCATCAACCATCTTTTTTTTTTTTTTTAAGATTTTATTTATCTATTTGAGAGAGAGACAGTGAGAGAGAGCATGAGGGAGGAGAAGGTCAGAGAGAGAAGCAGACTCCCCGTGGAGCTGGGAGCCTGATGCAGGACTAGATCCCAGGACTCCGGGATCATGACGTGAGCCGAAGGCAGTCGTCCAACCAACTGAGCCACCCAGGCGTCCCAACCATCAACCATCTTATTGCCTGTACTCCTCCCTATTCTCTCCCATGACTTATTTCTGTTGCTTTCCAGGGTCTCTTTAAATTTTCTTTTCACACCAGTTAATTCCGCTACTTCACAAATGTGAAGCAGCAGTTTCAGAAGCGGTTTTAAGTCAAGGACTGATACACATATACCTTTTTTTTTTTTTTTAAAGCCCATTTGGAAGTGTTTAAACTCAGTCTGAAAATGACTAATGTACAAACTAAGACAAACAAACAAGCAAACAGCAGTGCATGCTTCCATGCAGCAAAGGCTAAGAAGAAAGACTTTTTTCAGAACAGACAGCAGATTAAGTTATTTCAAAGTTTCTGGACCTGCCATTGTCGTACTCTGCTCCCATGTGCAACTGATTGGCCATTGTAAAGTTAACACTGAAATTTGAAAATTTTTCTCTCTCGATCTTTTCAATGGGCAACATGTTCGACTGCAGATGTTTGATGACGTCAGGGAACCACACAGATAATCCATAGTACCTGCAAAGACAAAGACACAGGAGTTTGTATGGGTGCCCACATGCCCGTGGCAATGACCGACCCCTGCCAAGTGACAATTTCAGAGAGGCAGGGATTCCTGGAGAAGCACCTGTGATTCTGATCCGCTCCCTGCAACAGAAGGAATCATGGAGCAGCCATCTTCCCCCACGCATCAGCCCGCAAAAATCACGCCAGAGAGCCAGCCTGGGAAGCCCCACGGATAGGAGGAGTTCTGCCCTCTGCTTTTGGACAGGGACCTGCATCCTATACCAACACAGGGCTTCCTGACCCTGACGCTCTTCTCATCACCCTAGGCCTCACTGAAGAACCCCATCTCCTAATCTGGTGGTACAAACTCCTGGGGTCCCCAAACTCTGAGTACCATTAAAGAATGACCTCTTTACTCATGGGGACTATTTCTGGGTTCCTACACTACTGTGATATAGTGAGCTCAAGGGCAGAGACCCATTTCTCAAGGGGTTCAAGGCTGGGAGAAGGGTCATTCGGGTTATTATCTGAAAATCCAGGTTATTTCCACTTGCTGCTATACTCTCTTAGGTATGATTCCAGCAGGGAACAGCTCAGGCACTCTTCTGTGCTCTTTAGTACAGCAGCCACTAACCACATATGGCTACCGCGCAGTTGATAAGTGGCTAGTGCAATTGCTGGGTCATAGGGCAGCTTTTTTTTTTTTAACGTCTTGAGGAAGCGCTGTACTATTTTCCAGAGTGGTTACACCAGCTTGCCTTCCCACCAACAGTGCAGGAGGGTCCCTTTTCTGTGTGTCCTCCCCAACATCTGTTGTTTCTTATGCTGATTTTAGCCATTCTGACAGATGTGAGGTGATATCTCATTGTAGTCTTGATCTGTATGTCCCTCATCAGCTGTGACAGTATATTTCATATGTCCGTTGGCCATCCCTAGGCCTTCTTTGCAAAAATGCCTATGATCCAACAATTGGGGTATTTATCCAGAGAATACAAAAATATTCATTTAAAGGATACATGCACCCTGAACATCCATTACCCTGCTCTCAACTCATATACTCAGGACAAAAATCTTTGAAAATGACAACAATGAGGGAAACAAGTTGGCCTGGAGCATACATCATCATGACATGGAGGAGTTTCACCTAATTTTTCATTTATTCAGTGAACATTTACTGAATATCCACCAAATGTAGGCACTCTTTAACATTTTAGGGACATTACAAGGAGTCTGTAAAGCTTACAATGTGGTCAGCAATAAATAACAAAATATCAGCAAACCAGATATTACCATGTAAATCTCCACATCAAGAGGAGAACTTTTGACTACTTACCTTTGTGCCCAGCTGGGTGTTTAGTACATAGTAGGCACTTTTCAGCTTTGTCTACCTTCATTGATTAATGTGTCTCCTAGAACTTGAGTGGGAGTTACTTTACATAATCTGAAGCATCCCTCTTAATTTGGAAATAAGGAAATAAAACTTGGTATAGTATCTCCAAGTCACAGAGCAGAGGAAGGTGTTGGGTCTTCTGATCCACACTTTCCCTGTCTCTCCCATTGCTACCCCTCATGGCACTACGAAAGACTGACCGTCTTTGATCACTCGCCTGTTTGCATTAGGGAGGTTTGCAGATAGAACCTGCAGCATTGATGCTGGGCTCTACTAGGGCATTAAGAGCCAACAGACCTGAAAGTATAGGGTATTATCTAACTGTCTCTTTTAAACAGTAAATTGTGCAAAACAGAGTTGGATACAAATATTCTAAAGCTATTAGCTAATAAAATTCTGATATTTTCTTTCTATCTCTTTTTTTAGAACACATGAATGGAGACTTCATTCATTAATTACTTATTGAGCACTTACTATGTTCCAGGGGCATACAGGAGTGAATGAGACAGTTTAAAATCCCTGTTCTCACAGAGCTTCCACAGAGGGGGAAACAGAGCTTTACTCTGTATAGAATAAAGAACTTTTCTGTATATTTGAAGACAGAAGGTGCTCTGGGGGAATAATAAGGCTGAGAAGGGGGCAGGGAGTGCTGAAGGGCTGCCATTAAGTAAATGCTTAAGGAAGATGAGCCTGGGAAGGTGACATCCGAGCCAAGTCTCAAAAGAGTTGAGGAAATGAGCTGGGCAATGTCTGGGCAGCAGTGCCAAGGCAGTTCCCTGAGATGGGAACGTTCTGGCATGTTCACGGAAAAGCAAGAAGGTTGCTGTGGCTGGTGGCGAGCAAAGGAGAGGAGGGTGGAGAAGCCAAGGGGAGCAAATCACCCACAGTCTCGTGAGACTTTCCAAGGACTATTGGTTTTGCCACCCAGCATTATGACAAAATAAAGTAAGTCATTTATAAAAACTGTCAGGGCCAGCAAACCTAAACTGAAAAAAAAAAAAAAAAAATCCTTCCTAACATATTAACAGCATCAAAGAGTGTAAGAAAGGAGAGCCATGGGACTGGGAGTTACCGTGTGGAAATACAAAGATTTCACTCACCAAGAACTGAAATATTACTTACCCAAAGGACAGGGTGAACCAAACTATTGTAAGCTTTATTGTATTTTCCCTGACAGGGTAGTTGAAACATCTCATGAAAGTCAACCAGATCTGTAAAATATTAAACAGTTAGTTTTCTTATGCGGTTATGCAGTGAACCCACTCCCCTAACGCCTTCACCAGTTATTAAAACACTGACTTTTCTTTGAGCCAGATTCATTGGAACTTCCAGTGTCAAGGCTGGAGGCTCTAGGAAACCAAATCCTACAAGTTTCACTTTTTTAGCTTCCAGGAAGCCAATGGACAAAGTAACTTAAAACTTCTGTGTGTCCCAGCCTTGCCAAGACTCCTTGCCTAGCACTTCCCTTCCCAAAGATGGAATGTCTTTGGAATGAATGTCTTGGCTAGCCCACTTGTCCCAGGGGTGGGGGGGGGGGGGGGGGGGGGGAGGGGAGCCCTTTCACCTGGTCCCAGTGCAGGAAAATGAGGTGTCCTGGACAGCAGGGGGCACAGGCTCACTCATGGAATGGTCACAATCCACCCTGCTTCTGACCAACCTTAAAGGCACCATGTTAGCCAGCACACGCCGGCAGGGGTTGGGGGGTGTCTGTTACTTACTCCATAGAGTTCCGTGCGGATCCGGACAAAACACCTTCTGTACCATGTCCCTGTGTCACTCTCAATTTCAATCAGCTCATCTATTTGTTTGGGGGTTTTGATTCTGTGGACCTGTAGAGAGCAACACAGTGCCAAGTGCTGAGTTCTCTTCTCTGAAGGCCTATCATTTGTTTTGAAAGGAGCAAAGCCCAACTCCCAAAAAAGCAAGCAGGTATCTGATAATCATTCCATTCTTACATTAGACCATGAGCATAGAAATATATGGATCTCAACACCACTTGGAAGAACTGCATAAAGAATGAATGGGAAGGAATACTATGGAGAAAGGGGGAAGAACAAGTAGGGATAGAGTAATATGAAACCAAAGTGCCCTTCTTTGCAGCATAACCATAAAGGCAAACATTTCACAGATAAAACATTCAGAGAGATTAGCTTCTGGAATAAGAATTATTTTGCTTGGACTGAAGTGATTGTACATACTTTACTTCGGAACCCATGGATTTGTTGAATTTGGTCCCTCAACATAGTTCTTAAATCTTCCTCATCCAACTTGTGTTCTTACAAGTTACCTTTGTATTTTATGACCCTTTCTTCCTTTTCCGGAAACCTAACCCACAGCGGCTGGTCAGCAAATAGCCACGGGCAAGCACGGTGCAAAGTCCAGAGAATGGGCTCTGACTGGAAGTATTAACATAGGTTCTGCAGTGACAGAGGGGAAATAAATGATGGGAGATCACTTGGAAAGGCTGCATTTAGGACTTAAATTAGCCTCTTCTGCTTGGGAAAAGAAGCCAGACATGGAAAAGGCAATGCTTTCAACACAGAGAATGAAGCCTGAAAAGAGAAAAATAAGGGGGAAAAAAAAAAAAAAGAATGGTTCCTTTGTGGACCTGTCCCCTCTTACCCTGTTAGTCAACATTCATTCAACTTTTAGAGAGAACATAGACAATTGCACAAATGTTACCCCTGCCAGGGGTCACTTTTGAACACCTTTTTTTCTGGAGATTCTGCCCATATCCAAAGCAGGAGTTCTATTGTAAGAGTCCAGGTACACTGTCTTTTGATAGTGGTGATTTGGGAACCTTCAGCATCTTCCAAATTATATGAGGTAAGCAGTAGCCTCTTCCTGCTATGCCAACAAAGAGGTCTGTATTTAATGAAAATAATGTCTGAGTTAAATGTGGGATTCCAAATAGAGTCAGCTCAAAATAATCCATGGAGGCATTACTTTGTGATACTCTAGATTTTTTAAATCAAAGAGGTGTTCTTATCTCTCAACATACTATTTGTGGGAGGCTTCTTCTTCCCTCCTCACCAGTGTTTGTTCATTCATTCATGGGAACTCCCTGGGTACCAGGTTCAGCACTAGACTATGGAGTTCCAAAAATAAATTACCATACAAAGAAAAAAAACCTCTAATGGAGATCAATATTAGATGGAAAAGATGTATTTTACTGAACACCCAAGTTGAATTGGGAATGAGAGAAATCTTCATGGAATTATGGAGAAGTATGTCATTTGCCATGTATGTGAATCACTTGGAGGCCATTCCAAGCATGGGAGATACCATGTGCAAACATCCCGAGTTGTGAAAGAAAACAAGGTACTGGACAACTACAAAGAGTTTTAGATTCCTGAAGAACAGTCCAAGGGCAGAAGGCAGTGAGTAATGAGGGCTGAAAGAAATCAGTGGCAGTAGGGTCAAAAGTAAGGAACAAAGAGGAATGATATTTAGGATGGAAATACTAGGACAGAGTGAGTCCTTGAATATTATGGGGATAAAGGGAAACAAGAAACAGGGTAGTTTTAAGGTTTTTCCAGTTTCATGGTCCTGGTGGTATCTCCTGATAGAATTCAGTAAAAGGAAGAAGCTTGAAGTCTCTTAAGATGCGAAGTCAGACTTAGAAATTCAGATTTGAAAGGACATAGAAGGATGTCCATAATGGCCTTCAACATGTATATTTGGAGCTCAGGAGAACTGTCCATTAGGAGATGGAGAGCTGGAATCAGCTAAGGAAAGAATATTAGGTTAAAAGAGAAATTAGCTAAAAAGAGTGTCCTGGAAAACAATATTTAAGGTAGGGGCATAAGAAGAAAAGCTTGAAAAGGAGGCTTTGGAGGAATGCATGCAGATTTGCTGTATTGTGGGCATAACAGGGAAAAGGACAAAGCTGTCATGTTGGAATGATATAATGACTTTGAAAGTCACGTAATAAATGACTCTAAAGATTACCCATTCTTTTGAAGTATCCCCTCATATTCTCACATAATGTAGTAACAACATGGATGACCATGTGTGAATTTGGTAACTCAAACCTTCCAGAAGAAAAAGCACAGTGAGGCCCTGGAGAGATTCACCTCAGAAGATCACTTTGGTAAAGCGTTTTTCCTCATGTGGCTAAGAAGGGTTAAGTGACATTGAGTCTCTAAATGACGCCTCAAGATTCCTCCAGCCTTCTGATTGTTTCATTAAAAAAAAAAATCCCTCCTCTGTTGTGCATCTGCTTAAAAGAAGGGTTTATTCAGATATTTCCAGGTCCTCAATAGAAGACATCCATTACTGACTTCCATTTCTCCATAATATTGCATTAAAAAAGAAATACGCTAATGAAGAATGTGTGGTAATGTAGATAAAGGCCAAACTTAAGTATATATTTACAATATGAAAAATTTGTTTCCTAAGTAAAAAAGAAACAAATAAGGTGTCAACAGACTGTTTAATAAGGAACTATTTCATATGTTTTAACACCTATATTTGGTGTTATTTATAAGACACTGAAGATCTTATTTATGTCTCCTTTATGTCTTACTGTATGTCTGCCTAAACCTATTTGAGACAAAACATCATTAGTCTAATCGCATGACTGCCTATGTAAAAAAATTTAAACCACTGTTCCTTCCAAAAAATTCCATCCATCCAATTTTCGTTAATTTAGACTGGCTTTCCCCACTGAGAATAGACTTGGTAACTACAAGATGTAAGAACATTCCATGCAGAGTGAACAGCAAGCACAGAGCCAGTGAGAGCAATACGTCTAAGTGAAGTGGAAATATGAGGAACCAAAAGATAAGCGTAGCTGGTGTAGAGAGAAAAATTTACAATCTGTCCTTTTCAGAAAATGTTTCCTTGCACCTGGCATAGATGATTTGCTGAGAAGCAGGTACTTACCGAGAAGACTTTCTCAGGTTGACCCCGTGCTCTCATGTTTGTGTCATGAATTAACTTCAGGATCATCCACGCTTCATCATGTTTTCCAACCTAAGAAATGTGAACAGACACTGAAGGGCTAAAAGGTAAAACACTTATTCTCCCCGATTTTCCAATAACCATCTTGTGTTGTAAAAGCAAGCTGGGTGTAATTGCACAAATGGGTTATCCCACTGGACAGCCTCAAGTATGTGAGCAGTTCAAGGGATGTGACTAGAACTATTTCTAGTGACTAGAACTATCTTTGGCTGCGAAAAGTTCACGTATAAAAAAGCAAGACAAAGTTTCTTCATTGAGGGAAAAGTTACTTGCTTGAGAAGGCTTTCTGGCCACGAGGCAGCTTTTTCACACACTGGTCTTTTAAAACATGTCTCCATTATATGTAAACAATGAGTCTTGGAACACTACATCAAAAACTAATGATGTATTGTATGGTGACTAACATAACACAATAAAAAAAAATAATGAAAAAAGTAAAATAAAACATGTCTCAGTGAAACCAATCCCTCTATGGTCCCATGGCAGCAAGGGAAAACGTCCACACACTTTCCTAGAATTAACAAGGAACTTGTTCCAATGTGTGTGGCTCCCTTAACTCTTCATAGTAATACACATTACCTCCAGTAAGAACCGTGGGCTTTCAGGCATGAATGTGAGGGCCACCACCGAGGAGACACAGGGGAGCGCGCAGACTATCACGAACACACGCCAACTGTGGAACTGGTAAGCTGACCCCATGCTGAAGCTCCATCCTAGAAAAGCAAAAGTGGAAGTGTGAAGGAGAGCGCCTCTCAGATGGCCTGCTGGGAAAGCGAGGACCCTTCCCCTAATCACTGTGGGTGTCTACATGGCAAATGTATTGTTAAGTCTTGAGCTGATCTGGGCATTAGCCACAGTGACCAACTCAACTTTACAAACACTAATAGCAGTGGTGAGAGAAAGAAACCAAAGGGGTCAGGGCTTAAGTATGGGGTACACGTGTGTTTCTGTACAACCGAATTCCAAAGGCCATGATAAATTAATTTGGAATACTTTTTCCAACAGACCCCTGTGCTGGAGCATGTTCTGTTTGCTCCTCCTGGTCACTGCCCTCCTCCCTCCCCCGCACTGCAGGCCAGGAAATGGACTGCTATGGGGCCATCAACTGGCTCCCTTGTGCATTGGCTTCCACTGGGTCTGGGAGGGTGGAAGCAGCATTCAGGGTATTTCCTTCCCTTGCTTCCCTTCTCCCTTCCCTTGGCTGGGGGGAGATTTGGTATTGGGTATGCCCATCCCCTGGGACCTTTTCCTACAGCCACAGCTCTTGTCAGCTTTCAGGAATCCCTCCGCCCTGGTGCCCTCTGATGCACAGGTAGGTACAAGATACTCTCCTGCAGCTAGCTCCTAGGTGCTTTATTATTCTCTCTGGGTTTCTTTTCACTGTTTCCAAGTGACTCTTCAGTGATCCCTTGTGAGGGTGTCCTTGGTTTCCTGCCAGCACCCTGACCAGTACTGATTGTTTTGTTTTGTTTTGTTTTGTTTAAAGATTTTATCTGACACAGAAAGAGACAGCAAAAGAGGGAACACAAACAGAGGAGAAGCAGGCTTCCCGCTGAGCAGGGAGCCCAATGCAAGGCTCCATCCCAGGACCCTGGGATCATGACCTGAGCAGAAGGCAGCTGCTTAACAACTGAGCTACCCAGGCACCCCAGAGCAGTACAGTTGTGAAGAAATGGCAGGTGTGGTATCTCTCCATATGCACATGTCCTAAAATAGATCAAGATAATTTATGGTTTCTAAATAGTATTGTTATTCTAATAAAAAACAAGCATAATGAGATACAAACAGAAATCTCTTTAAGAGCTAAAAGGAAAATCTGCTGAGAATAACCAGGAATCCCACTGCCATAGTCCCCTAGTTATAGCTAAGTGTAAGAAGTAAATAAAAGCTGAAATGAAATAACAAGTAAAAAAGAACTTTAATAAAATTTAAAGAACAGTAGGTAAAAAAAAGAACTAAAAGGAAGCTGATATTTGCATGAATATAAAATGGATGATGGCTAAATTCAAACACAATTCTAAATGAGAAATAATGAGGGATATAAAATCTAATTGAAAACAGAAAGGAAATGTATAGAGATATAGATGAATTACATGAGGCAACACTTCAGTTTTTGTTTTTTTTTTAAAGATTTTATTTATTTATTTGACAGAGAGATCACAAGCAGGCAGAGAGGTAGGCAGAGAGAGAGGAGGAAGCAGGCTCCCCGCTGAGCAGAGAGCCCGATGTGGGGCTCGATCCCAGGACTCTGAGATCATGACCTGAGCCGAAGGCAGCGGCTTAACCCACTGAGCCACCCAGGCGCCCCAACACTTCAGTTTTTGACAATACTTGGCATATAGACGGCGTTCTGTGACCAAAAGTCAGGTATTTTATACCCCATCCCCAGGAGAGCAGTGTACTTATTCATTATTTACCCAGAAGCCAAGTGCGATTCTGAGGCTGATGTAACTTTCTCAGGGCCACCAAGCCACAGCATCTTCTCTACCAGGATCCGAGGCAGAGTCATATACCACACCCAGCCTCGTGTCCATGCACACTTGCTCATAAACACAGAATTTGTTGACAAATGACATAAATGTCAATGACACACTACAATCAATCCTAGATTAATAAACATTTTCTGGGAATTTAATATATGAGGGTTATGTGAATTGGTAAATTAACCACATCATGAACTTTAAAAGGGGATGTCTCCTCACAGGGTTTTATGGAGCAGGAGTTCCAAAGTCCAAATCTCCAAAACACAGAAAAAAAAATTGATGGAACAGAGAAAACATGCCTTGTTCACTTATCATTTGATCAGAAAGTCTGTTTCAAAGAATATCTTTTTTTAAAAGATTTTATTTATTTGACAGAGAGAAAATGCAAGCAGGGGGAGTGGGAGAAGCAGGCTTCCCGCCGAGCAGGGAGCCCGATGTAGGGCTCCATCCCAGGACCCTGGGATCATGACCTGAGCCAAAGGCAGATGCTTAACCGACTGAGCCATCCAGGCGCCCAAGAATATCTTTTTAAAAAGCTCTAGGTCCTATTATTTGACATGCTGGATAAAAAAGAAAAGTTTTGGGTGGTGGAATGAAGCAAATGCAAAGCTAAGCACAGGATGACATCACACCAGTGGATGGAGCTGAAAGCTTCTGACGCTAGAATAGGGGTCCCTCCCTGCTCAAAGACAACCACATGCCCAGACTTGGGACTTTGTTACCCTATATGGCAAAGGGACCTTGCAGGGGGCATTCAGTTAAGGATCTTGAGGTAGACTGATTATGTCACAGAGCGGGGCCCAACCTACAGAAGCAGAAGAGCCTTTTTGTAAGAGAAAGGGAGAGGAGGAGATGTGGCGAGGGAAGTCAGGGGTCAGCTCGGAGAGAGATCTGAGGGTGCTGCAGTGCGGGCTATGAAGAAGTTGCCAGAGTCACAGGCAAGCAATGTAGGAGGCTTGCAGAAGCTGGAAAAGGTGAGTGCTGTCTTCTCTGCTCCCGCCCCTAGAAGCCCCACCAACTCATTTAGACTTCCAACCTCCAGAATTTTAGGATAACAACCTTACGTGGTTTAAAACCAGTCAGTTTGTAGTGATTTCTTACATCAGCATTAAGAAAGCCACACAGCTCTCTGTAGTTAGAGCTCTGCTGCTTACACGATTGAAAGCAATTAAATTGGAGAATTTCAGCTCTTCTTTATGAAACCTCAGGCTCCTGGCTTTTGCCTGGACTTTTCCGCAGGCCTCGCCTAGGACTTCCTTCTCCTTTCTGATAGCTGGTCTTAGAAATACTGCCCTTCACTCTCACTATTCCTGAACATCACATCAGTGGGGGAAGAGACTGAGTGCAATGTGATTCTATTTGAGCAGTTTTCAGGCCACGGAGGACACTGAACTACAAATAGAATCCAATCCCGGAGGAGAGCTAGCTGGTCAGAGTCCCCAACTCAAAATGCATTTTCTTCAGGGGTATCATCTTCTGTCCAGCAGCTTAAGTTTAGCCTGATCATTGCAGCTCACGCCCTTCTGTATTTCATCAGCCGTGAAGTGGTCTCAGACCCCTGCTTGGTGTGTGCGTGTGCACACGCACTGTGTTCTTGCTTTATATAAAGGGGGTGGGGTCCACTCTTCTCTCTCCGTTTTTTGCAGTATGTGCTTCCCCAGGCTCCAAAATTCTGTTGCACCCCTTTTTTGTCTCTCTTCAAATCCCTAGCAGTCTGTTCTATTTCTTGCACTTGACCCCCACCCTACTGTTTTGAGAACACAAACACAGAGAGAAGGGCACACCTCTCATCTTCTCAAAGCTCCTGAATTTCCCATCCACCTGCAGCTGTCTGCACCCTCCATCTTCCCTCAGGAGCATTGGCAGTTGGTCTGTTGTAACCAATCCAAAGCCAGTCTGTCTCGTGACTCTTCCTTCTCTCTCTCAAGGACAGAACTATAATCTCCTGTCCCTCCTCTCTGGCCCTCTTCATGGTGTTCTCTCATCTTACTTGATGGGTCATTCCATCAGCACACCCATCTCCACCATCTAAGAAAAAACCCTACCTTGACCCCCAAAGGACTCTCCCGTTGCACTGCTACTCCTCTGTCCTCATTCTCAAAAGAATGGTCTAGAGCAACTGTCTCCACTTTCTCACTGTAAATGGGCTTCTGCCCCTAAAACCACAGAAGCTGTGCCAGTCAAGGTCATCTGTCTTGCCAAATCTAAGAGGCACTTCTCTGTCCTCATCTTATTTGAGCTGTCTAAATCATTCCATATAGCTGGTCATTTTCTTCTCTTTGAAGAACTTTTCCCCTTGTCTTCCTCATCACTACATGTGCTAGTTTCTTTCTCAGCTCACTGGCTTTCCTTCAGTTTCTTCATGTGACTCTTTCTCTCACTAGCTCTCCCAAGTCAGTGTATCCTAAATATTGATTGTCAGTCCTGTTCTCTGGATTCAGGTGCTCTCTAGGCAGACTCATGTATTTCCACGACTTTAAGCACCAACTATAGGCCAGGATCTCTGAAATATAGCCTCTTCTCTTTCTAGAGCTCCAGAAACCCATCTCCACCTGCCTATTCACATCTTCACAGAGGTATCTAATGGGCATCTCAGAGTTACTATGTCCAAAATGGAACTTCTGATTTCTCACTCTGCTACCAAAGAAAACTCTCACATTTTCTTCAATGTTCCTGTTTTGGCAAATGACACACTGCCAGCCACTCAGATATTCATGCCAAAAACCAAGACCTTATCCCTCGATTCCTCTTTTCCCCTCACCACACTCAAGGTCCAATCTCTCTGCAAGCTCCTTCTTTCCAATGGAACTCAAAGCCACCTACTTCTCCTCATCTCCCTGGCACCGCCAAGCCCCTTGTCGACAGCATTGTACCCCTGACCTACAGCAGAAGCTTCACTCTCCTTTCCCTGGCCCCCCACCCCAGTTTACCACAGGCCACTCCCCCAACAGCAGCCAGACGTACCCTTTTAAAACATCAGTAAGAGGGGGTGCCTGACTGGCTCAGTCAGGAGAGCACGGGATTTATAATCTCAGGGTCATGAGTTCAAGCCCCACATTGGGTGTAGAGATTACTTCAACAAAATTGAGGGGTACCTGCCTGGCCTAGTTGGAAGAGCACATGACTCTTGATCTTGCAGTTGTGAGTTTGAGCCCCACATTTGGTGTAAAGATCACTAAAAAGAAATAAACTAAACTAAAATGTCAACAAGAGCACTTCATTCTGCTGCT